ACTGGATTCCTGGGGCACCCAGGCTGCCCACGCTCTGGGCTGAGTGAAAGGGATGGCCAACCTTAGAAAAAGGTCCTTTTTAAATAATTCTCACTACACCCACTACAGCTAAACTTCTGAGAATTTGGCCCTGGATGCTCCAGACCCTATTTCCAGCCATGGCGAACTCCCTAAACGTCCAGTCCATCACGGATACCAGGTTCTGATAATATGCTGTGGTATATATGGCTCCATATTGCCCTTTGCCTCCTCTTTATACTTCTCATATCCTCTGTGATGCCACCAGAGCGCAGCTTACAGACCGGGCCCGTCAGCTCTGTGCCCACGCTGGGAGCCCTAATGACGGTAACCGTGCTCTCCACGTCTGCCACAGTGGGTGCTCTGTGACTTCTCCATGTGCCCAGGTCCAGGAGGCCCTCTGCCTCCTCAGAACTGTGACTCCTCCTGCCATGTGTGCCCTTAGGTTTCTTGGCTATTGCCCCTAGCAGCTCTGCATTTAGCTCTCCTTTTCACACCCTGCATTCTCCACTATCTGGTAACATTCATACAAAACTATACCTCTAAGGTAGATTTCCAGACCATCCATTGTCAGTGGTCTCCCCGTTAGTCATTCAAATGAACTCTCTCCATAAAAAGATCTCAAGGGCCATTACTAGCTGGAAGCAGTTACAGAGACCTCCACAACATTTTCCCTGCTTCTGAGTTAATTTTTTTTTTTTTTTTTGAGACAGAGTCTCACTTTGTTGCCCAGTCTAAAGTGAGTGCCGTGGTGTCAGCTTGGCTCACAGCAACCTCAATCTCCGGGGCTCAGTGATCCTACTGCCTCAGCCTCCCTCGTAGCTGGGACTACAGGCATGCGCCACCATGCCCAGCTAATTTTTTTTTGTATATATATTTTTAGTTGGACAATTAATTTATTTCTATTTTTGGTAGAGACAGGGTCTCGCTCAGGCTGGTTTCGAACTCCTGACCTTAAGCAATCCGCCTGCCTCGGCTGCCCAAAGTGCTGGGATTACAGGCGTGAGCCACCACGCCAGGCCTGAGTTCATTTTTTTTTTTTTAATGGAAATTTTAAGTTTAACAATAGAAAGGGGAGAATGAAAGGGACAGCCTTGCTGAAATAACAGGAAAATACCTAATCCCACAATTTCCTAATGACATCTAGAGATCAATCATGAGCTCTCTCTCTGCTCTCTGCTCTTTCTCTCCCTGCTGGCAGGTGCCCTGCAGAGCTCTGTGTTTACATCTAAGAGGAGCCCAGCACACAAAAAGGAAATGTAAATTGTTCCTTTTAGGATTGCTAGACCTATTGACTAAAACTGCCTTTTAGAATCTGTCTCTACAGCCCGGAGTAGCTCCTGAGAAGCTCCTGAGAAGCTCCTGCAGGACAGCAGAGGGGACAAACTTCAGGCATCAGCTCCTGCCCCAAATCATATCTTGAGGGCAAGATCATGACAAGATCTCTAACAGCCATTTCTGCTATCAGGCTATTGCTTAAGAAAAGGAACAGATACAGCAGCCCATTCTATTATCTGCTTCCCACTAAGAAGAGAAGGACCACATATGACAGTTCACAGCACCCTGTAAATTTGACTACAACCATATCATCTTTCATCCCCTTTTTTACATTTCCTAAGTAAAAGTTCTGAGTAACTGGCTTTGTAGGCCCACACAATGGTCCCCTCTCTCTATTGTGTTTGGCCTTTCCTGCTTGGGAAACTAAAATAAACTTCTTTCCATCTGAATCTTTGTCTGGAGGGATTTCTCTCTGCACTAGCACTCCACCCTCACCCTAGGGCACAGAGGCCAGCCACTCCCATAGCCCAGATCTCCCTCAAGTCCTCCTCCCAGGGACCTGTCAGTGTAGATGCTGGAAATCTGACCTTGAAGGTGATATTTGTTGTCTTTGGGTCGCCCCCTATATCTCCCCCACACATCTCTGTGGCCTTGAGGTAATTCTGGTTGAAGCACTTCCTGTCCTGCTGCACCTTGAGCATCCCCTCCTGCAGCGTGTCTGGATTTTTGCTCCCAGGGCAATCCGGCCCCAGCCGGCCACATTGCACTTGTCCCCTGGCTTCACCCAGCCCATGTGCTTGGGCAGCTTGAGGGGTTGCATGGCTGCAGTCAGCCTGGCCTTTGTCTCCAGCTGGTGGGGAAGAGGCAAGAAAGCCCAGGTCAGCCAGTGGCCTCCTGGGCCTGGGGCCATATGGGGCCTGAGCTGTCTCCCCTCTCCTCTGAGGCCCAGCAGGATGGAAAGGAGGGAAGAAGGGACAGCGTCACAGTGGGAGGGCCAAGGGGAACAGTAGAGTGAGATCAGCAGGACTTTGCCTCACCTGCAGCAACATGATGTCATTGAAGAATCTCTTAGAATCGTATGCTGGGTGGCATGTGGCTCTTCTCACACAGATGACCTGCTGGGTCTTCTCCTGCTTGTTGATGTTGTGGGCCCCCAGGGTGACCTTTAAGGAGCTGTACTGACTGCAGAGAGAGGCTACATGTATGTGAAGTCACAGGGGTACAGTCCAAGAGCCATGAAGAGCAGGTGACAGCCAGGGCAGGGCAGGGCTGCAGCTGAGGGGAAACTGAGGGAATGGGAGGGCCCCAGGAGGTGGCATTCTGTTAATTGCACCAGTGGTTCTCAGGGGCCAGGTCCCCCTGGGGAAACAGGTGAGACTGCTTTGGTTTCCGTTCTCATGCTTCAGCATGTCCTCGGCTCTGCATATAACAGGCATGATCACTCTGGTCTTTTCTGTCCTCAGCAATGCCTCTGACACTAACCTTCCTCTCCCCCCACGGGACGTACCCATCCTCTTTCTCCAAGAAGCCCTCCTGCACATGTGTCCAGGCAGTGGTCTCTGTGGAGTATTTTCAGGAGGGTGTGGAAATTTCTTCCTTATCTTTCCTAATAGTGAGTGGCTGTCAGCACGAAGTCTTCTTGGATCAGGGAACTGCTGCAGAAGTACCTCTCTGGTGTCCCCTGATCCCAGATCTGATGAAAGGCTATGTAGGGGTTGGAGTGTGGCTTGGCCTCATGGCCCCCCATGATCTCCTCTGAAAGAAAAGACTGGAAGTTGAAGGAGTTGGGGTAGGCCGGGTCAGGAGAGAAGGCTAAAGAAGGCGGTGCTTGAGGTCCAGGTGTGCAGTGAGACAGTATCCTGGGGTCAGGTGGAACTGGCTCTCCTAAACCTAAGAACTCAGAACCCCTTTGAGAAAAGAGGGGCAGAGCTTGTCATCACATCCTACTGCAGACACACATGCAGGATGTAAAATCTACCTTCAGGACGCCAGAGCCATAGAGGATCCTGGACACGACTGTCCTGGTTCTTTCCTTCTCAGTGAGTGTCCCTGATCCATCTGAGCCTCATCAGTGCCTCCAGGATTTTCTAAAATCCTATGTCCTAGGGACTAGGTTCAAGGTTATTGTGTTTTGGCTGCACGATGAATGGCTTCCAATTAGGCTTTGGCTGGGGTTTGGTGGGGGTGGTGCTGGTGGGCTTCTGGGCCTCTGGGATGGTGGGAGAGCCAAGGACCTGGGAAGGCAGGGGAAGAGGAGAAGCTAGCAAAACCTGGACTGCACAGCCCTGGGTGGAGCCAAGCCCACAGGAGAGCTGTGGTTGCAGCCATCTGCCACCTCTGAGATCTGGTGCACCCTGGGTTTCTCTCAGGGACAGCAGTTAGAGTGGGGAGGGCACTGAATAATTTAACTGGTTCTTAAATTGGGTCCTGTGACAACCTCTGCTGCAGCAGCATATGTGTCTGCTTGTCCTAGCAACCACCGGAGAGCAGGAATGAGATGATGAAGGACTGAGAAATAGGATAGGTAAGATTTGGGATTGGAGGCTCAGAAATGAGAGCAAGTGGCACAGTTGAGAAGAGAGGGACTGTTTGTGGCAGTTAGCTATGCTCCCAGCAAAAAATCAGGTTCCTTAGGCAGGGATCATTGCAAAGGATAAGAAAATAATAGAATAGAGAAATAATAGAAATAAAAGAATACACTAGACGAAGGTACAGTTTTATAGATTTATATAACAAAAAAGCAATGTGAGGGTACTCGGGGGACCCCACAATATCTCTGTCAATTGTGAGGCCAGGAGTGAGTTTCACATGGGTATTTACAGGTACAGATGTCAGTTGCCAGAGATAACAGATTAAGATAACAGGTAGTTCATTTTAGGTTGAAAGTTTTTCAAAAGACTTCTATAGATCCCTGAATTAACTCTATGTGAACAAATAGTTACAAAATCTTTCCAAGACAAACTTCTAAATTCTAAGATAAAGTTATTACTCAATGAAAGATTACACAGAGGTATAGTGGCCCCATGTTTCTTTATCTAGTCATTGTGGATTGAGACAGGTTGTCAAGAGGGAAGCAGGAGGTGTCCCTTGGGCTAATTGCTTTTAGCCACATTTGACTGTCTCTCAGGTCAGCACTCTTTGATCAGTTCTCATCCAGTGGCTCCATGTACACCTGCTTTGTTATTCAAAGCAGGTGAAAACCATTGGTTTGAGACTGCAGCATCCCTTGGAAAGCAGCAGCTACTGATCTTTGAGATCTCATCCCACCCCAGGCCTGGCAGCCTTTGATATGCAAACTAACAGGGTCACAGATTCCTTCAGGGGAAAGCCTTGCAAAATTCCTGAAATCATTTGTCTCTGTAATGTTATAAAGGGCATTTCAAAAAGAAATAATTTTATGGGCTGACAACCATACTGACCAAATAAAGCTTAATGGAATCAGAAATACTTAGAGCTGCCTTTTCCTGGGTTGGAGTGAGGGATTGTCGCTACTTATCTTTTATAGCTTCACATTTTCTACCACATGCCTTTCTAAGAACAACCCACTTTTCAGACCCAAGGACAGGTCTGGAGAGCCGCTAACACCTACTAAACCTTTTAGGGAATGCCCTTCCTTCTGCCATCCTTGTTGAGTGTCTATCTAGCATCAGACTTAGAAGTCTGCATGTGGGATGGGAGCTGGGGCAGACTGAGGAAACTTCCTGACCAGTGCTGGGTACAGGGGTCACAGATACAGGGATTTTGTAAGATAGGCTCAGGCCTCTGGAATAGCAATGGTCACTTACCTGTCCCAGCCCTGGGAGGCAGAAGAAGGGCAACAGGAGCAGGAGTGGCTGCATCTCCTCAGGAAGGCTGCCCACATCAGCAAAGCTGGTGTTTGCTCCACCCAAATATAAAACCATGGGAGTGGGATGAAAGAGGGGCGGGCCTAGTGACCTCTCAGACCTCCTAAACCTGTGTGTGCTCTCTTCGTTTTGATGGGCGTCACCATACAACTAGGCTTGCTAAAATACTCTGGTTTGGTTTAAGTGAAAATGGCACTGTTACCACATAAGCAGCTCTGCTGCTGAGTGACAAGGTGAAAGCAAGAATAAGGACAAGAAGGTGGAGTCTGTTGAGGTGTGGCTGCAGCTAGTCGAAGGGTGAGAACCCCAGATGGTCCTAAGTGACTGAGCTGAATGAAGAATGTTTCCTTGTCTCAACTCTGGGCTCCTTTTCCATTCTTTATCCAATGCTTTTTCTGTATCTTTTAAGATGATCATATGGTCTTTGTTTTTGTTTCTGTTTATATAGTGAATCACATTTATTGATTTGTGTAGGTTAAACCATCCTTGTATCCCTGGGATGAGAACAACTTGATCACGGTAGCTTATCTTTTTGATGCTCTGTTGAATTTAGTTTGCTAGTATTTTGTTGTTGAGGATTTTTGCACCTATGTTCATAAGGGATATTCGTCTGTAGTATTCTTTTTCAGTGTGTTTTCTCCTGGCTTTGGCAGCAGGGTGATACTGGATTCATATTAGGGAGGATTCTCTCCTTGTTGTCTTGAAATAGTTTCTGTAGGATAGGTACCACCAGTTCTTTGTATGTCTGGTAGAATTTGGCTGTGAATCTGTGTGGTCAGGGGCTTTTTATTGTCAGATTTCTTTTTTATTATGTCTTCAATCTCACAGCTCATTATTGGACTGTTCCAATAGAAGTTGTTTTCTATTTCTTCCTGATTAAGACATGGGAGGTTGTATGCTTCCAAGAAATTATCCATTTCATCTAGGTTTTCTAGTTTTTTTGTGTAGAAGTTTTCATAGTATTTGTGGATGATGTTTTGTATTTCTGTGGTATCAGTTGTAAAGTCTGTATTTTCACATCTGAGTGAGTCCTTTTTCTTCTATGTCTGGTAAGCTAGTTAGTGGTCTATTGATTTTATTTATCTTTTCAAAGTATCAAGTTTTTCTTTCCTTAGTATTGTTTTTGGTTCCCATTTTGTTTTGTTCTGCTCTGAGCTTTGTTATTTCTTTCCTTCTGTTGGCTTTGGGTTTGGTTTGTTCATCTTTTTCTAGTTCCCTGAGATGTGACGTTAGGTTGTTAATTTGTAATCTTTCTGTCTTTTTTTTTTTGTTTTTTTGAGACAGGCTTGCGTTGTTGCCGTGAGGCTAGAATGAGTGCCGTTGCATCAAGCTACGCACCGGAGAGCACCTCAAACTCCTCGCGGCGCAGCTTAATGGCCTTGCTGCCTCAGCCTCCCCAATGCGGGACTACAGCATGCGCCCATGCGGGTAATTTTCTAAGATTATATTATGTTGGCCAATAATTTCTTTCTATTTATAGTAGAGATGGGGTCTCGCTCTTGCTCAGGCTGGTTTTGAACTCCTGACCTCGAGCAATCCGCCCACCTCGGCCTCCCAAGAGCTAGGATTACAGGCGTGAGCCACTGCGCCCGGCCTCTTTCTGTCTTTTTGATGTGGGCATTTAAGTCTATGAACTTTCCCCTTAGGGCTGCTTTTTTATATCCCTTAGATTTTGAAAGCTTCTGTACCCTTCTGTACCCATAGAGCTTGAGGAATCTTTTGATTTCCATGTTAATGTCATCATTGACCCAAGGATCATTCAGCAACAGGTTGCTTAAATTCCCTTTGTGTGTATTTGGGTGTTTCCTTGGAATTGGTTTCTAGTTTTATTGCACTGTGGTCTGAGAAGATACATGGTATGATTGTTGATGATTTTGCATGTTGTTTTGTGGCATAAGATGTGATCAGTCTCGGAGAATCTCTCATGTGCTGAGGAAAAAAAGTATATTCAGTAGTTTGTAGGAAGATTGTTCTGCAAATGAGTGCTAGGCCCATTTGTTCTAAAGTACTGTTTAAATTTGGTGTTTATTTATTCATTTTGTGCTTTGATGACCTGTCCAGTTCTGTCAGTGGAGTGTTTAGGTCTCCAACTATTACATTGGTACTGTTTATTTCTTTGCTTTCATCAAGAAGAATTTGCTTTATGAAACATGGAGCTCCTATGTTATGTGCATATGTATCTGGGATTGCTATGTCTTTTTATTGAATTGTTCCCTTTACCATTATATAATGACCATCTTTGTCTTTTTTCATTTTAACCACGGTTGATTTAAATTCTATTTTATCTGATTCAAAAATGCCTACACCCGCTCGTTTTTGGTTTCTATTTGCATGGATTATTTTTGTCCATTCCATTACCTTTTGTCTGTGTGAGTCCTTTGGATTAGATGCATTTCTTGGAGACAGCAAATATTTAGATTGTGTTTTTTTATCCATTCAGTCAGTCTGTGACTTTTAAGTGGGACACTCAGATTATTCATGTTGAGTATTAGTACTGATATGTGGGATGCTATTCTGTTCATCATGTTGAATGACAGCTTATTGTTTTGTCTCCCCCTTGTGCTGTTGGTTTATAAGAGCTGTGAAGTATAACTTTAGGGTGTATTTACACCTGTTGGTGTCTATTGTGTTGTTGCATGTATAATGGACTTTTATGCGTCCATTATAGGGTGGGTCTAGTAATGACAAAATCCTTTAGTATTTACTTGTCTGTGAAAAACTTTATTTCCCCTTCATTTATAAATCTTAGTTTAGCAGTATACAAAGTTTTTAGCTGACAGTTGTTTTATTTAAGGAGACTAAAGATAGGACTCCATTCTCCTCTGGCTTGTAAGGTTTCTCTTGAGAAATCTCCTGTTAATCTGATGGGTTTTTCTTTATATGTTACTTGATGTTTTCACCTCATGGCTTATAGGAGTTCCTCCTTCCTGGTGACTTTGTCCCGTCTGATGACTATATGCCTGTTGA